TATTGTTTTTGATTCCAAATTAGTAAAAGATTGTGATAAGATTAAGAGTTTGCCTTTGCCTTTACTTGAAATTTGAAAGAGTTCTCTTAACTGCTGTGTTCCTAGGGATTTGAAAAAGCCATGTTTGAGTAGGATTATCTCTTGGTTAAGATCTGAATATTTAATGAACTGCCAAGCTGTATTAGCCCCATTTCCTCAGGCTGCTTTTAGAATGCCATAAATTAAGGAAAAAAGCATCTGAATTCACTGACATTGGTTTTACATTCCTTTAACTTCTGAGTCTCAGGACCCTCAAGCAAAGGCAGCCAGTTACTGGGGCATGATGCGTGTGACGTGCTTGAGTCGTCCCAACAGGCACTAAAACAGTGCCCAGCAGTCTATGCCAGACAGACCAAAAGAGGAATAGAAAAGCAATGTTAAAGAAGCACTGATTTCATGGTATTTGGAAAGAACAAATGGAAATGAAATGTGTACGTAGTTCTCCCTCAGATGTGATGAAGGCAAAGGAAAAGACGCATGAAGCTAGTTTGGCTAGTCAGATTATATATCAATGTCTGAAAGGACTAGCTGAATGAACATATGTGCTCATGGCCTATTTTTAAAGTCTTGTAAATAGGTAGCATTCATTTAATATATGTTGTCAGGCTTCATACTAATTAGCTATTATATTAAAAAATTAATTCTCTACAAATATTTAGTGACATTAAATATGCAACTCTCCCATAAGCAAGTACATATTTATCTCTCAAACAAGCATGGAGTCATTTAAAGCATCTCATTCTGACAATCAGAAAATGACTGATAATAATAACTTCCAGTAAATCTGAAAATTAGATGAAATGTCGATGGATTTTTTTTCAGGAAGTGAAAATTGCCATATTGACTCAAAGAGAGGAAGAAACTATGAAGAGAACAGAAATCAAAGAAGAAATTGAAAACATAGTCAACAAACCACTCCTAAAAGCTTCCAGTAATTTTGCAGGCAAATTCTACAAATCTTCAGGGAAAAAATAATTCTCTTATAAAGATAGATTTAAAAAAACTCCTTATAAAATATTGCCAAATCAATTTCAGTGGTATAATAGAAGAATAATCATATTTTGTACCCAACGAGGGTTTACTTAGTAAGGTAAGGGTGATTCAACATTAAGAAATGCATTAACATAATTCACTTCATTAACTACTGAAAGGAGGAAATTCATATGATCATCTCAATAGATTTTTTTAATATGATAGAATTCAACATTTTAAAAGCTTTATCAAGGAAAATTTTCAAACATACATAAATGTAGAGGATAGTATAACAAACCTCACGTGTTCATGACACAACTTCAAGTATCAACATTTTGCTTATCTTTAATATTCATGTTTTATTAACACTTCTAGCTTCATCTCAGGCTCTCCTATTTCACCACGACTCAGCAGGGCATGAGTATTCATGACCACTCTCGCCACTAAACGCTCCAGCATCCAGTAATTGAGTGAAAACCATGCCTATTAATTTAGAATTCTTGGAATGAGAGATGATAGGTTATTAGCAAATTTGTTGGAATAGCATGTATTTCTGTACACATGTTCATTCAAAGCTTAAAATGACTTAAGATGCCGAAATACAGAACCATGTGTAAGAATTCCAAGAAACTAAACAAGAAGTTCTAATGATATACAGAGGAAAAATTAAATGGGTTATGAGACCAGGTGAAACTCTACAAAGAGGAATTGAGACATAGAACATTGAAAAAAGAAATGAGGGACTTATAAATTAGGAAAATGGTTAAGAACCCAGGACTAATCCAATAGAAATACCAAAAGAACATAATCATCAGGCATTGCTCAACGTGGAAAAACATCTGTAGAAATGTGTTACAACCGTATACAGTGCAGCAAATTTTAATACAGTCTCAGCAACATGCACTTCTTATTTTGTCTGATAAAAGACTTACATGTTCAAAACAGACAGTGTCTGACATATGTAATCTTTTCAGCAATGATCAAAAAGGTGTTATGTCCGTCAGTAGGTGCAGGGTAAGCAAATTGTGGTGCATCTATACAATGGAACACTGCTAGGAAATAAAAAGGAAAGAACGATTGATACACACAACAATTGCAGAATAATTATGCTGAGTGAAGGCAGCCAGACAAAAAAGAGTGTATATTGTATGATTCCATTTGTGCAAAATTCTGAAAAATGCAAATTAACATATAGCGGGAGAAAGTGGGTCAGTGACTGTCCGGGGCAGGCAGGAGCAGGAGGGAGGGGAAGACAGGGGCTTCCCAAGGGGTGTGAGGGAACTTTTGAGGTTGATGATGTGGTCTGGATTGTGGTGGTAGTATCAAGGGTATATACATTTCAAAACTTACCAAATGGTACCCTTCAAACACGTGTCGTTCACTGTATGTCCGATAGGCCTCCGTAAAGCTGTTTTCAAAAGTGTGTGAGAACAGACTTTGATGGAGTTTGCCTCTGATAGCTGAAGGCTGTATTTAGTCCTGAGCAACCTTAGGATATTCTCTAAGAGTTTGCTCACTGAATCCTTAAGATTCTTCCAGGTATTTACAAAGAAATAGGTGTATACAAACAAATAAAATACGTTAACTAATATCATAGGCTGGCACAACTTATTTTATACTATGTAAATAGAATAAAGCTTGCTTAACTCGGTAAAGTTACCTTCTCCCAGAAACCTCCAACACATGTCACACATATGGGCAAAGTATTAACAATCTCATTGAAGTCATGAAGAAGGCAAAGGTGCCTAATATTCTTACTGCTTTTCAATATTTACTGAACTGCCCAGCCAATGAAATAAGACCAAGGAGGGGAAAGATGTTTATAGCTTGGAAAAGTACAGAAAGTCAGCAGACAAGAGTGATTATTATTAGACAGTATGGTCATCAAACTAGAAAACCCAAGAGAAACAGCAAGAAGACTTCTAGAAGTAATAAGAGAATTCAGTAGAAAGGCCAGATATAGTATCCTTAGGTTTCCTATACTCTGAAGTAACTATTTAGAAACATGGTGGGGGAGGGGGAGTTTACAACAGCAGCAAAAATTGATCTATAAAATATTCAGGAATAAGCCTACCAAAAACATGTAAGACCTGTTGGAGGAAAACTCTTAAACTATACATGAGAGAAGATTAAATGAATAAATAATTCATGTACTGATTGGGAAGACCTATTCTTGCAAAGATGTTGAAATAGTCCCCTGAAACCTGTTGACATTACCACGTCACAATCCTTCCTTCTTTTGAGAAGCAATTGGGGTTTTTTTTTAATGAGGCAAGTTGCATCAACATCTCTTAGAAAATAACAGTTCCCTGGAACGTCTTTAGCTCAAAGCATCTTTGTTTGCGGATTGTACTGTCTTGTTCTTGCCCCTCAGTGTCCTGAATGAAGTAAACCGTCCCCAGTCTCTGTCTCCATTGAAATGCTGCAGATGTGTTGAGAAGGAGATGCCCAGAGGAGCCCAGAGTTTCTCCCCCAGGGGCGTTAAAGGGGTCTGTCTCCCAGTGGTGCGCATAAAACGTGGCCGTGAGTTGGGCAGGTGTCTCTACCTCCACCCCTTTGACCAGGTGAACCGCCCCAACTCAGGAGGCCTGGACTGCTCAGGTGGTGTCAACAGGGGTTGTGAGTGTCATTTTGGCTGTGGATGAAGGGACAGTAAAACCCTTTGATGGGTCTCCCTTGCTATCCTGGAAGTTACGTCTGGTATAATTACAGCAAAAGAGCTACTCCAGAGGAGTCATTCCTGATTAGGCAGATACTAAAACAGATGTCATTTGTCATAAATATTTCTTATAAATTCAGTATGGGCCTAATCAAAATCCCACCATGGGTTGGCAAGCTGATTCCAAAATTCAATAGGAAGAAAAAACAGGCAAGAACAGCCAAAAATAATTGTTTTTAATTCATGAAGAGAACTTGACCTACCCAATATGAAAACATATAATAAAACTATAATAATTAAAACAAAGTCCAATAGCATATAAGAATTGGTAATAGTAGGAAGAGAGAAATCTAATGTTGGAATAGACTAACAAATCCAGAATTTACTTCCAAAGTCTTATTTAAGGTTCTTTAATGTGGCTTTGATATTTTTTGCTTTTACTCCACCAACAATTCAACAATAGTATCAAAAGCAAAAGTGGGCTCAGCAATTTCTCATTTCTTCTGCTGCTTTCATGCTTCTCTCCTTCAGCCGTTCTTGTAGTCCTCAGAGAAAGAAGAGGGTCAGAGGCATGGACCTTGTTTCTGATGGCTTGATCTCCACTGAGGTAGGCCAGGACAACTGTCTTTGCAAACGGCAGGACAGGTCTGGCCAGGCCACAGGCCACAGTCCCGCCTCACGTCCTGGGAATAATTGAGCAATACTACATACCAGGCTGAGTTCTGAGTGTTTTGCACATACTTGAGTTGAGTGACTTCTTCAAGGTCTGGCAGCTAGTAAGGATTTGATCTGTCGTTGGGCCTCAGAACTGGGCAGCCTCCCAGGACTTCTTGACATTTCCTCCTACTGCTCTGTTAGCATGCCTGACCTTTTTGGCATGGCTTCCCCGTGCATCTGTGTGCTGGCCTTGTGGACAGCTGTAATTCAGCTGTTACCTATAGCTGCTACCCATTGGTTCAGCCCAGAGGGAACTCTGGAGCTGGGAAATGCCCCTGTTGTAGCCCTTACTGCACCATCTTAAATGTATGTGATGTCTGTGTTTGTCTGTCTCCTTTACTAAACCGCTAGCACCTGGGGGCAGGGACCCTCCTTCTGTCATTTTATTCCTGGAATTTATCATAGTGCTTAGCAGATGCTAAACAATAAATAAATATTTGATAAATTAATGGATTCTAAGATTCAAAGCACCAAATTTTACGGGAATTAGCAGGAATGACCTGGGTTTAGTCACATTGCATCTTCACAATGATCCAAACAACTGACTCTCTGCGCTTCTTTTGTGGTAACTCTGGCCCCCTCCCCCCGCCCCCTTTGACTTTGCCTGTTGCAGCCAATGGGATCTGAACGGATGGAGATGCGGAAGCGGCAGATGTCTGCAGCCCAGGAGACACCGGGCTCCACCGTAGGCCAGCACGGAGTGGGGAACCGAGGGTCCAATGCTTGCTGCTTCTGCTGGTGCTGCTGTTGTAGCTGTTCTTGGTAAGGCTGGGGGCTTTTTTATTAATTGCGCTCCTGATTGGGAAATGGCACCCCTGAAGAGTGCCAGTTTATGATTAATTCAGTAAGTGTTTTTTAAACAACTGCTATGTGCCTGACACTGATTTGGGTTCTGTGAACGACAACAACCAAAAAACAAGAAGAGGCTTCACCCCAGCCCTTGAAGGATGCGTATTCCAAGCCCTGAAATCAGGCTCATGTATGTTAACAACTACAGAGCAGTCTAAGGCAGTTGATGACCGAATATTAACATTTGAGCAGAAATAATGCCCGGATGGTTGGAAAGGCATGAGCTCAAGGTTCTCTAGTTGGTGACAAAGGCTTTGGGAAGGAGCTGGAATTTAAGATAGGTCTTAAAGGAATAGGGTTATGAAGTAGAGAGAGCTGGGATTTTATCTTCTGCTGCTGCTGTTTTATTAATTTTGCTTTTTAATAAGGAAAAATGTCAAAATATTTTCTTAACAGAGAGAAAAATCTAAAAACATAGGCTAACTTACTAGTAGAGGAAGAGACACAGTCACTGCTTTAAAAAAAGAGATGTACAACCTGAATGGAAAGCATCCTTGACTGTTTGAGTCACTGTTAAAGGTCTGGAGAAATGTATATGATTTACACCTAGAAATCGTAGGAACATGAGATTGCATTTCTGGAATCTTGGATGTGAAAAGTGCTTGGTGCCAGCAAAATGTGTGCATAACTTTAGGCAATTAAATTATTGTAAATTTGTGTCAGCTTGACTACAAGTTGTACCAAGACCTTGCTATCCAGTGGAGAAGAAAAACTGATATTGGGACTGATCAAGAACAGTGACATTAGGACTGACAGGGAGCTGGAGGCTGAAAATGAAATGTCTGGGAAAGTTTGGTCTGCTCCTGCTTGACTTGGGCCAGTGTTAATTTCCCAGAAGTTCCAGTCTGGTGGTGGGGCCCAGCAATATGACACTCCAAGCACTAACGGAATCGTGATTCTGGGTGGTCTGTTCTTTCAGGGTAGAGCCCCAGACAGCAAGTAGGAATATGGGGGAAATGGGGCTGGCAACAGCTAAGCAGTCTGGCATTGAAGGTAAGACTTCGTTCAGCCCCTCGAAGGAACCTAGAGGACTCCAGAAACCAGAGGAGAGGCACATGTTGGCACACCTTACACATGTGGGTGTCCAGGACCCACCCTAGATGGGGAGGACACCCAACAATGGTGAAGAAACTATGTTTAGGACGCTTTCCCACTCTTTCACTCTGCTAATCATCTCAGTGAGATGATTAGAGGTGATCATCTGAGATGTGCAATGGTGAGACTCCGAGCTGGTGTGTACCCCCCTCCCCGCCTTCTCTGCTGCCTTGGGAAGGCACAATGTATGGGACTGATGGTGGTGGCTGATCCCAGAGCAGGCTCCTCCTACTAGCACCAACTAGGACAAATAAAATATAAATCTATACCTAGACATCATGATGATAGCCACCACTTACGCAGCACATATTATGTGTATATATAAAAGACAATAGAGCAATGCCCACAAAATACTGGAGCAAAGCGACTAAAAACAGAGTCAAACTATAATTCAGGAGTTAGGTGAAAAAAGACATTTTCAGACATACAAAGGCCAAGAGAATTAACTACCTTCAGACTCTCCCTAAAAGAACTAAGAAAGGGTATACTTCAGGAAAAAAAGTGAACCCAGAGTATAGTCGTAGGAAACAAGTAACAATGACAGACACAAGTGGGAATCAAATATGGCTATAAAACAAGGTATTTAATTTCAAAGCTGTAAACAAATAATCCCATGTTAATGATGGATAAATCAAACAACTTCAGACTTCCTTAGAAAAAACTGTAACATTTCCTTTCAAAATTAATGGTATTCATGATTGGTCCAGAAATACTACATACAGGCTCCACATTAATGGAAGACAGCAAAATAAATATAGAAAACTTTATCAGCATAGGACAAAGCTGGCATCAGCAAAGAGAGAATGAACTGTTCTATAAATACCAGGATATTAGGGTGACCAGCTCATCCCAGTTGCCTGAGACTTCCTTGATTTTAGCATTGAAAACCCATATCCCAGAAAACCCTCAAGTCCCAGGCAAACCGGGAAGATTGCTCACCCTACCTAGTATCCAAATCCATAAAGATGGGTTTATATTCCTATATTGCACCATATGTAAAAATCAATCCCCCCACCAAAAAAAAGATCAGTTGCAGATGGCTTATAGGCCTGATGTGAATAGCCAGGAAGAAAATACAAGATAATATCTTTATTATCTTGGTGTTGGGAAGAATTACTTTTAAAAATAAAAGCAAAATCTATAAAAGGAAAAGATTCTTATATTTCACTACATTAAAATATAAAAATGGGTTCAACAAGAGAGGTAAAAACATATGTCCACACAAAGACTTGCGCTTGGATATTCTTAGCAGCATGATTCAGAGTAGCCAAAAAGTAGAAATAAGCCAAGTGTCCATCAACTGATACAATGGAATATTATTCCACCATAAAAAGGAATGATATATTGATACTGGTAAAGCCTGGATGAACCTTGAAGGCATTATGTTACGTGAAAGAAGCCAAATACAAAAGACCACATATTTTACAATTCCGTTTATGTGAACTGTACAGAATAAGTAAATCCACAGAGACGGAGAGTAGAACAGTGGTTGCCGAGGGCTGGGGAAACGGGAGTGACTGCTAATGTGTGCAGAGTCTCTTTCTGGAGTGATGACATGTTCTAAAATCAGGGTGATGGCTGCACAACTGTATAAACATACTAAAAACCATTGATTTGTATCATTTAAATTTCTGAGTTGTATGATGCGTGAATTATATCTTAATAAAGCTGTTTGAAAAATGTGTGTTCAACAAGAGACATCAGAAATGAAATGAAAAACTAAAACATATTGGGAGAAGATAGTTACAATGCATTTAACAAAAAATTCAAATCTAGAATATACAAAGAACTTTAGGAGATTAATAGGAAAATAATGACGAAAAGAAAAGCAAGCAAATGAAATGAAACAGAAAAGATAATCCACTTGAGCTCCTACTAACAAGGATCCAATATAAGAAAGTTAAATACATACCCTTCTAAATCTAACACTTTTCCCTAGAAAAACCTCTCACACATCTGCAAAGGGAGACATGGATGAGAAACTAAGAAAAACTGAAAATGTCTGTGAAGTTCATGAACAGAAGAATGGATAAATACATTGTAGTATGTGATACAATGTAACACCATATACAGCACTTAAATTCATGTGCTAGCGAAAAAAAGCAAATTGTAAAGCAATGCATATTGTATAATAACATCTACAGAGTTTGAAAATATGTTTGGATTTATAGATTTATACATATATAGAGAGTGTAGCTTAACTATGAATGGTAATGATAAACAACAATTAAGGCCCATTGTTATCTCAGGGGTAGAGGGGGGAAAGATGAGATGGAAAACAAGTCCAAGCACACAGCAAACTTCAACTGTTTCAATATTTAATTTCCTAGACTTTTTTTTCTCAACATGCTTTTGAGATTTATCCATGTTGATAATACATAGTAAAGTCGGTTTTCAACAAAGGTAAATGGCAACATGTTTTCTAAGCCCTTGTATTATCTTTCTCAAAATTCTGCTTCATGTCCTTCTGAAATTCCATTTTGTGAAAGAAGTCATGCAAATTCTTGATCTCTTAAAAATAAACTGATTTTTTTCCTTTCTAGAAGGTTGAAGAATTTTTCCTCTTTGTAACTCAAAAACTTACCAAAATATGTCTAATCATGGGTATTCTTTTACTGAATAGTTCTAGAACATAGTGAGCAACCATTTTGGCTTCTATTGACATTTTTTTTTTTTTTTTTTTTTTTTGTGAGGAAGACTGGCCCTAAGCTAACATCTGTTGCCAATCCTCCTCTTTTTGCTTGAGGAAGATTGTCGCTGAGCTAACATCTGTGCCAGTCTTCCTCTACTTCATGTGGGTTGCTACCACAGCATGGCTTAACAAGCAGGGCTAGGTCTCTGCCCAGGATGTGAAGCCCCGAAGCCTGGGCCGCCGAAGCAGAGCGAGCAAACTTAACCACTACACTACGAGGCTGGCCCCTCTATTGCCATTTTCTTGTTCTAGTATAACAATAACAATAAACTCAGGTTAAAACAAATTGACAGAAAATATGTTCTTCACTTTTTCAAGAACACATTGTCTCCTTAAGAAATATTCCTACTTTTAAAAGAACAAGACATGGAAAAAATGTCAAAGCTTAAATAAATATTGCATTATTTAGTCACAATGTAACTTCCAGTTGTCTTAGGAATCTTGTGTCAAATTCCTCCTTTCTTTTTAGTAATGTTTTCTGCTTACAAAAGCAGCTTAGGACATCAGGCATTATTCATGCTCCTACAGAGAGAATACCACCCAAGTGCCTCTCAAGTGTGTTTTTGTTTTGTTCTTGTTTTAAGAAACCATTATTTACTGAAACTTTTTAGCTCTGGCATCATGAAAGCAGTAAGTCAAAAGAGTTCCTGCATGTCTAATGACTGCATTTAAAGAAAAATAGAACTACACACACAGTTACTAAAAATTCATAAGCAGATGTGCTGAAAATAGGCTGAAACACTTTTATAAAATGGTGTAGATTATTAAGGAAAGATATCATAAAGGGAATAGAAAAGATAATACAGTAGCAGTAGTAAGATAAAGCAAACTCAAATAAAGATAAAAATCCATTTTGATATTAATAGGAAACTGAAAGCATTCCTGCTAAAGTCAAGAACAAGGCAGGATGTCCATTATCTCCACTCGTAACACTGTATTTTAGGTGTTATTCAATGCAGTTAGACAAGAGAAAACAACCTGAGGCCTAAGCACTGGAAAAGAAGAGGAAAAACTCCCTATTTGCAGATAATATGAGAGTAGTACACCTGGAAACCCCAGAGAATTGTTGCTACACTGATGCAAACACAAAAGAATTCAGTGAAGAAGAAAGATATAAAATTAACGTAAAAAATAATAGCCTTCAGAATGTAAAGAACTCTTACAATTCAAAAATAAAAAGACAGATAAGCCAATTTAAAAATGGGCAAAGGATCTGAATAAACATGTCTCCAAAGAAGATGTACAAATAGCCAATAAACACATGAAAAGATGCTCAATGTCATTAGCCATTAGCAAAATGCAAATCAAAATCACAATATGATATTACTTCATACCTGCTTAAATGGCCAGAACAAAAACGACAGAGGATAACAAATGTTGGCAAGGAAATGGAGAAATAAGTTCCTCCAGCATTGCTAGTGGGAATGTAAAATAGTGCAACTGCTTTGGAAAACACTTTGGGACTTCCTGAAAATTTTAAAAATATAGTTACTATATGACAGCATTTGCACTCCTAGGTATCTACCCAAGAGAAATAAGAACTGACGTGAACACAAAAACTTGTATGTGGCTATTCCTAGTCAAATTATTCACAATAGCCAAAAACTGCAAACAGGCTAAATGTCCATCAACTGATGAATGGATAACAACATGTGGTATAGCCATACAATGAAATATTACTCAGCCACAAAAAGGAATGAAGTACTGATACATGCTACAACATGGTGAACCTTAAAAACATTATGCCACGTGAAAGAAGCCACAAAAGACCACATATTGTATAATTCTGAATAGGCAAATCCACAGAGACAGGAAGTAGATTAGTGTATGTCTAGGGCTAGTGGAGGTGGGAGATAGGAGGTAAGGAGGAGTGACTACTAACCGGTATGGGGCTTCTTTGGGGGGTGATGAAAATGTTCTGAAATTAGGTAGTAGTAATGGTGGTACAGCCTGGTGATTATGCTAAGAACCACGGGATTGAATACTTTAAGTGGGTAACTTTATGATATATAAATGATAGCTCAATAATGCTATTAAGAAAGTAACAGCCTTCGTGTGTATAAATAATAACCAGTTAGAAGATGAGATGTAAGTGAAAATTCCATTTACAATAACAACAAAAATATTTGGAATAAATTTACAATGAAATGTACAAAGTGTATATAAGCAAATTTGAACTCTCTTGAAAGATACAATACAGTCGTGAGCTTCCTAGTGATGTTTCTGTCAATGACAGACCGTATCTATGACAGTGGTCCCATAAGATTAGTACCATAGAGCCTATGTGTGTGGTAGGCTAGTCCATCAAGGATTGCACAGCACACACTACGATGTCCACACAGTGATGAAATAGCCTAACAACACATTCTTCAGAACATACCCCCATAGTTAAGGGATGCATGGCTGTAGTAGATTTTGATTGTACTCTTTCACAGTTTTCTCTAATACTTCTGTATGTGTCCCTACAAATTTATAAAACTTCCATTTCAACTGGAAACGAAGTCTGGAGAATGTATACTTTTTTTCAAGGTGCAGGATATGAAATGAAAACCCAAAACATTATGATAATCTTACTTTTTTACTACTTTCTAATGGATGTATATTCATGAAAAGAATTATTATTCCAGGGCTGGCCCTGTGGCTGAGTGGTTAAGTTCATGCACTCCACTTTGGTGGCCCAGTGTTTTGCTGGTTCGGATGCTGGGTGCAGACATGGCACCGCTTGTCAGGCCACCCTGAGGTGGCGTCTCACATGCCACAACTAGAAGGACGCACAACTAACAATATGCAACTATGTACTGGGGAATTTGGGGGGGGAAAAGCAGAAAAAAGAAAAAAGATTGGCAACAGTTGTTAGCTCAGGTGCCAATCTTTAAAAAAAGAAAAGATTATTCTTCTAATTGTAATTGAATAATAATTTTAACTCTCCCTCAATTAGTGTAGACCACAATATTATAAATACAATTTATTTTGCTAATACTTCATTGTCCTGCTTTTGGTTTTCTTAAGAAAACCTTTAATCAGGGTCATTTTTTTCAAGAAAAAGAAGAAATTCTACTTCGTAATCTGTAGTTCTCTTTAAAATATTTCTAAAAAGTCTTTCCTTGCTACAGAATGATCTCAACTGACATGTAAACGTCTTGTCTCGTGCAGTCTCACTGTTAGAAACCAAGAAGAACAGAGACCCATGAGGGCTTCCCATGAGCTCGGAAGAGAAGACCTTCCAACCTGTGAAGAAAGGTAATCTCTCATATGGGTTAGCTCACTAAATGGACAGAAATGGCAACGTTATTAGTTTGACTTTTTTTGCATTATATGTTTCAACAGAACACACAGTTTCTCCAAATGCACTTTAATAATATCAAATCATAACAGCCATCACATTTTCACCCTAAAGAATTCCTTTTAGTTCGTTGGGTGACAGGGAGAAAACTTAGTTCCATTATAATCCCATCCCTGCATATCATAAATAAAAATCGATGCTTCTTGACAAAACGTATGACATTGTTTTGTTTTTACATGATATGCTTTTACAATAAAAGACCATAATGAAACACATGTTCGGTTTTCAAGAAAGTTTTAAAAGTCCATGTTTTTCTTAATTATAAACTTATACTTTAGCTAATGTATTATTTTTTATTTTTATTTATTTATTTTTTTTAGGAATATTAGCCCTGAGCTAACTGCTGCCAATCCTCCTCTTTTTGCTGAGAAAGACTGGCCCTGAGCTAACATCCATGCCCATCTTCCTCTACTTTGTTTATTTATTTATTTCTTTTATTTTTTATTGAGTTAATGATAGCTTACAATCTTGTGAAATTTCAGTTGTATATTATTGTCTGTCAGTCGTGTTGTAGGTGCACCCCTTCACCCTTTGTGCCCACCCTCCACCCCACCTTTCCCCTGGTAGCCACTAATCTGTTCTCTTTGTCTACATTTTTAAATTCCTCATATGAGTGGAGTCATACAGAGATTGTCCTTCTCTATCTGGCTTATTTCACTTAACATAATTCCCTCAAGGTCCATCCATGTTGTTGTGAATGGGACAATTTTGTTCTTTTTTATGGCTGAGTAATATTCCATTGTATATATATACCACATCTTCTTTATCCAATCATCTGTTGATGGGCACTTAGGTTGCTTCCACGTCTTGGCTATTGTAAATAATGCTGCAATGAACATAGAGGTGCATGGGACTTTTGGAATTGCTGATTTCAGGTTCTTTGGATAGATACCCAGTAGTGGGATAGCTGGATCATATAGGCACATGAAAAGATGTTGATCATCACTGTGCATCAGGGAAATGCAAACCCAAACTACACTAATATAGAGAAAGGGTGGAGCAAAATGGTGGGGTGAGCTGACCCAGGATTCTCTCCCCTCCAAAATACAACAAAGGATTGGAAAAACTGAATTTCAGAGAATAAATCTAATGCCAACACATTAGAGACCTACAATACCAAGAAGGCGGAGATCATAAACCTTGCTCACAGCCTCGGAGGCACTGGAACGGGTAGGAGAGAACATCGCTTCCTCCCCTAGAGTCTGCGATCACTGCGGCACGGGTTGGGAAGGAGCTGGGGAGGCACCGCATGACTAGGGGATCATCCAGGACTCCTGCCACTGGTTCAGTGGAAACCCACTGACGGGGGAAAGCTTCCGTGTGCAGGGACCCCATAAACCCAGGGCCTCGGGAGACCAGAGAACAGAACTGATCTGAATCCAGATCGGTGAATGAGAATAGCAGCCCCTCCCTCACAGAAAAGCGCACTGGGCACCACCATCTTGCCCAAAGGCGGAGAGCTCAGAACACGTGGCTCTCGACCCCCCGTCTAGTGGCGACAGGCTTTAACTGCAACCGAATTCTACCGCCATGCGAAAAAACCGCTCCTCTACCATCCAGCAATTTATAAAAGCCCCAGACCAGAAGGAAAACAATAAAAACATAGAATTAAGTCCTGAGGACTTGGAATTAGGTAAACTAAGTGATAATGAGTTCAGAGCAGCTATAATCAAAAAACTCAATGAGGTAGAGAGAAAGATAGAAAAACAAGCCAATGAGTTCTGGAGTTACTTCACAAAAGAGATTCAAATCATAAAGAAGAATCAAACAGAATTACTTGAGATGAAAAACACAATGGACCAGATAAAACAGAATACGGATTCCCTGAATGGCTGTGTAGACACCATAGAAGAGAAAATTAACATAATTGAAGATAGACAGGCTGAATGGCTCCAGACAGAGGAAGAAAGAGAACTAAAAATTTTTTAAAAAGAGGAAAATCTCCAAGTGATAGTGGATTCAATGAGGAGTAAGAACTTAGAGATCATAGGAATTCCTGAGAACATGGAAAAGGAAAATGGAGCAGAAAGTGTGCTTAACGAAATTATTGACGAGAACTTCCCAAATCTAGGAATTGACGGAGAAATGTGTGTAGAGGAAGCTTTCAGATCTCCTAGATTTGTCAATGTAAAAAGACCTACCGCAAGGCACATAGTAGTACAATTGGCAAGAAGGAAAGATAAAGAAAGAATACTCAGGGAAGTAAGAAAAAAGAAGAGAATAACCTATAAAGGAGCCCCTATCAGACTTTCAGCAGATTTCTCTACAGAAACCTTACAAGCTAGGAGAGAATGGAGTGACATATTCAAAGCTTTAAAAGATAAAAATCTTCAGCCAAGAATACTCTGTCCAGCAAGAATTTCCTTCAGATATGAGGGAGAAATTAAATCTTTTCCAGACAAACAAAAGTTAAGGGAATTTGTAACTAAAAGCCCTCCACTACAAGAAATCCTCAAGAAGGCTCTCATACCTGAAAAAAGAAAAAAGGGAGAAAGAGGTCACAATCCACAGACTAGGGAGACCGATGGATAGAACCAAAACAGGATAGCAAATATTCAACTATAGCATTAGGGTAAAAATAAGGAAACTACCAAAACAAGGACGATCTTAGCACCCTAACTACAAATTCATAACACGAGTTAGAATAAGAAATGAAAATAATAATTTAGGAGGGGAAGAGCAAAGGGTCTAAATCAGTATTGGCCAAGTAAGTAAGAGACCAGCAGAGAATAGACTATATTATACACGAGATTCTAAATACAAACTTCAGGGTAGACACTAAAATAAAATACAGAACAGAGTCACAAATCATAAATAAGGAAAAATCTAAGAAACCCAGCATAAGAAATTGCAGTATTAAATGGGTAGGCTAAAGCACACAGGAAAAGAAATGCAGGAAAACAAGATAATGAGCGACAGATTGACAGCATTAAGTCCACATGCATCAATAATCACTCTCAATGTGAATGGATTGAACTCTCCAATAAAAAGACACAGAGTGGCAAAATGGATTAAAGAACAAGATCCAACAATTTGTTGCCTCCAAGAAACACACCTCAGCCCCAAGGACAAACACAGGCTCAGGGTGAAGGGGTGGAGGACAATACTTCAAGCTAATAGCAAGGAAAAAAAGGTAGGTGTTGCAATTCTTATATCAGACAAAGTGGATTTTAAAATAAGACAGGGATAGAGAGACACAGAGGGACGATATATAATGATCAAAGGGACACTTCATCAAGAAGAAATAACGCTTATAAATATCTATGCACCCAACACAGGAGCACCAAGATTCATAAAGCAACTATTAACAGACCTAAAGGAAGATGTTAAAAACAACACAATAATAGTAGGGGACCTCAACACCCCACTCACATCAATGGACAGATCATCCAGACAGAAAATCAACAAGGAAATAGTGGAGCTAAATGAAAAACTAAAACAATTGGACTTAATAGACATATATAGATCACTTCACCCTGAAAGAGCTGAATACACATTTTTCTCAAGTGCACATGGAACATTCTCAAGGATAGACCGTATGTTGGGAAACAAGGCAAGCCTCTACAAATTGAAAAAAATTGAAATAATAACAAGCATCTTCTCCGATCATAATGCTATAGGGCTAGAAATTCATTACAAGAAAAAAGCTGAGAAAGGCACAAAGATGTGGAGACTAAACAACACACTACTGAACAAGCAATGGATCATTGAAGAAATTAAAGAAGAAATAAAAGATACCGGAAACAAATGAAAATGATAGCATGCCATACCAACTCATATGGGATACAGCAAAAGCTGTATTAAGAGGAAAATTCATCGCAATACAGGCATATCTTAACAAACAAGAAAAATCCCAAATAAGCAACCTTAAACTCCACCTAACTGAACTAGAGAAAAAAGAACAAATGAAGCCCAAAGTCAGCAGAAGGAGAGAAATAATAAAAATCAGAGCAGAAATAAATATTATTGAAATGAAAAAGGCAGTAGAAAGGATCAATGAGACAAAGAGCTGGTTTTTTGAGAAGATAAATAAAATTGACAAACCCCTAGCCAGACTTACAAAGAAAAAAAGAGAGAAAGCTCAAATAAACAAAATCAGAAATGAAAGAGGAGAAATAACAACAGACTCTGCAGAAACACAACGGATGATAAGAGAATACTACGAAAAACTGTATGCCAACAGAATGGATAACCTAGAGGAAATGGATAAATTCTTGGACTCCTACAATCTCCCAAAGCTCACTCAAGAAGAGGCAGACAATTTGAGCAGACCAATCACAAGGAAAGAGATTGAGACAGCAATCAAAAACATCCCAAAGAATAAAACCCCAGGACCAGATGGCTTTCCTGGGGAATTCTACCAAACTTTCAGAGAGGATTTAATACCTATCCTTTTCAAGCTATTCCAAAAAATTAGGGAAGATGGAACACTTCCTAACACATTCTATGAGGCCAACATCATGCTGATACCAAAACCTGACAAGGACACCACGAGAAAAGAGAACTACAGGCCAATATCACTGATGAACATAGATGCAAAAATTCTAAACAAAATTTTGGCAACCAGAATTCAGCAATTCATCAAAAGAATCATACATCAGGATCAGGTGGGATTCATACCAGGGACACAGGGATGGTTCAACATCCGCAAATCAATCAATGTGATACACCACATCAACAAACTGAGGAATAAAAACCACATCATCATCTCAAATAGATGCAGAGAAGGCATTTGACAAGATCCAACAGCCATTTATGATAAAAACTCTGAACAAAATGGGCTTAGAAGGAAACTACCTCAACATAATAAAGGCCATATATGACAAACCCATAGCCAACATCATACTCAATGGGCAAAAACTGAACGCCATCCCCCTGAAAACAGGAACAAGACAAGGATGCCCTCTATCACCACTCTTATTCAGCATAGTACTGGAGGTCCTGGCCAAGCAATCAGGCAAGAAAAAGGAATAAAAGGAATCCAAATAGGGAGGGAAGAAGTGAAACTCTTGCTGTTTGCAGATGACATGATCTCATATACAGAAAACCCCAAAGAATCCACTGGAAAACTGTTAGAAGTAATCAACAACTACAGCAAAGTTGCAGGGTACAAAATCAATTTGCATAAGTCAGTAGCATTTCTCTACTCCAATAACGAACTAACAGAAAAAGAACTCAAGAACACAATACCATTCACAATCGCAACAAAAAGAATAAAATACCTTTGGGTAAATTTAGCTAAGAAGTGAAGGACCTATATAATGAAAATTACAAGGCCTTTCTGAGAGAATTGGATGACTACATAAGGAGATGGAAAGACATTCCATGTACATGGATTGGAAGAATAAACATAATTAAAATGTCCGTTCTACCTAAAGCAATCTACAGATTCAACACCATCCCAATCAGAATCCCAATGACATTCTTTACAGAAATAGAACAAAGAATCCTAAAATTCATATGGGGCAACAAAAGACCCCGAATTTCTAAAGCAATCCTGAGAAAAAAGAACAAAACGGGAGGCATCACAGTCCCTGACTTCAAAACATACTACAAAGCTACAGTAATCAAAACAGCATGGTACTGGTACAAAAACAGGTGCACAGATCAATGGAACAGAATTGAAAGCCCAGAAATAAAACCACACATCTATGGACAGCTTATCTTCGACAAAGGAACTGAGGGCATACAATGGAGAAAAGAAAGTCTTTTCAACAAATGGTGCTGGGCAAACTGGAAAGCCACATGTAAAAGAATGAAAATTGACCATTCTTTTTCACCATTCACCAAAATAAACTCAAAATGGATCAAAGACCTAAAGGTGAGACCTGAAACCATAAGGCTTCTAGAAGAAAACGTAGGCAGTACACTCTTTGACATCAGTATTAAAAGGATCTCTTTGGACACAATGCCTTCTCAGAGAAGGGAAACAATAGAAAGAATAAACAAATGGGACTTCATCAGACTAAAGAGCTTCTTCAAGGCAAATGAAAACAGGATTGAAAACAAAAAAACAACCCACTAACTGGGAAAAAATATTCGCAAGTCATATATCTGACAAAGGCTTAATATACATAATATATAAAGAACTCTCACAACTCAACCACAAAACATCAAACAACCCAATCAAAAAATGGGCTGGAGACATGAACAGACATTTCTCCAAAGAAGATATACGGATGGCCCAATAGGCACATGAAAAGATGCTCATCATCACTGATCATCAGGGAAATGCAAATCAAAACTACACTGAGATATCACCTTACACCCATTAGAATGACAAAAATATCTAAAACTAATAGTAACAAATGTTGGAGAGGTTGTGGAGAAAAAGGAACCCTCATACACTGCTGGTGGGAATGCAAAGTGGTGCAGCCACTATGGACAAGAGTATGGAGATTCCTCAAAAAATTAAAAATAGAACTACCATAGGATCCAGCCATCCCACTACTGGGTATTTATCCAAAGAGCTTGAAGTCAGCAATCCCAAAAGTCCTATGTACCCCAATGTTCATTGCAGCATTATTTACAATAGCCAAGACATGGAAGCAACCTAAGTGCCCATCAACAGACGAATGGATAAAGAAGATGTGGTACATATATACAATGGAATACAATTCAGCTGCAAAACAGAACAAAATCATTCCATTTGCAATAACATGGATGGACCTTGAGGGAATTATGTTAAGTGAAATAAGCCAGCTAGAGAAGGATAATCTGTGCATGACTCCACTCATATAAGGAATTTAAAAATGTGGACTAAGAACAGTTTAGTGGATACCAGGGCAAAGGTGGGGTGGGGGGTGGGCACAAAGGGTGAAGTGGTGCACCTACAACGCGAATGACAAACATTAATGTACAACTGAAATTTCACAAGATTGTAATCTATCATTAACTCAATAAAAAAAAACTACACTAAGATAGCACCTTACACCCATTAGAATGACAAAAATATCTAAAACTAATAGTAACAAATGTTGGAGAGGTTGTGGAGAAAAAGGAACGCCCATACACTGCTGGTGGGAATGCAAACTGGTGCAGCCATTATGGAAAACAGTATGGAGATTCCTCAAAAAATTAAAAATGGAACCACCATACGATCCAGCTATCCCACTACTTTTTTTTTTTTAATACATGGGACGCATGCCACAGCATGGTGTGCCAAGCGGTGCCATGTCCGCACCCAGGATCCTAACCAGTGAATCCCAGGCGCTCAAGCGGAACATGTGAACTTAACCCCTGCGCCACCAGCCGGCCCCTTATTTTTTAAGTTTAAGTATTTTGAGAAAAAGTTGAAAAGCAACAAATAAATGACTTTCCATAGTGCCAAATTTTAAAATTGTCTTTTTTCCTTCCTATACTATCAATTGATTTCCTTTCACTTAACTGTCCTTACACCTTTTCTTGGTATTATGCCTATATAATTGCACATACTAGACAAATCGCCTAAACGCATTGTTCAAATAGGACTTGTATTAAATTGCTTATTTCTGAGGGGAAAAAATACAAGAAGCCCAAAAGTTTACTTAAATGTTTTTCTTCTTTGTTCATCTTATTTATCCTTACCCAGATTTTTCAAAGTCTGGGAAGCATATTAAAATCTTCCACAATTTATGAGTTTGTTAAAAACAGCTTTTATCTTAAAAACAACAGATTCTACATAAATCTCAAAGTTTTTGCATTGCTGGGCCCACAGAAAGTAAGGAAAATGACAAAGTACCTGAAAAACAAAACCCTGAGTGGAGACTGCTCAGCACAGGAGAGTGGGGTTTTCTCTGAGGGCAAGGCCGGGAAGACAATTGCTGGAGGCCGCATGGGTGTGGGACAAGCTGTTGAAATTGAGATTTCCCGATTAAGCCTTGATCTGCGAAAGGAGCTAGGGCGGTCCTGGGTCAGGAGCACTTCCTATATCTCAGAAGAAGCAAACACAACCTCTCTGCAGGAAAGAAAGCATCCTCAATTTTGACTCTTGGTTTCCCAAAGATTAAGATCAACCAAAAATTATGAAACTACAAGGAAACAACATACCACAAATGAGAGTCAGTAGAAACAACATTCAGATTTAGAACCCGAAGGACTTCAGATGTTAGAATCATCTGTAATAAAAATATAAAACATAAAATGTAATAAAATATAAGCTAATAAAAAATAAAATGGTCTCTGAAATGTTTAAACCACCTAAAGATGGAATCACAAAAATGAGTAAGCAGCATTCAACTATCACAAATGTCCAGGAGTCCTGTGACATTGTACTATAATTCTGCAAGATGTTACAACAGGGAAAACTGGGCAAGTGATATGTGAGATCCCTCTGTATTTTTTTCTTAATTTTTAAATTTTTTTGAGGCCAGAAGTCCAAAATCAAGGTGTCGGCAGAGCCACGCGATCTCACTGCTCTAAGGGGGGGGATCCTTCCTTGCTCTTCCAGCTTCTGGTAGTTGCCAAGAATCCTTAGTATTCCTTGGCTTGTAGCTACATCAAGCCAGTCACATGACCTCCTTTTCCCCATGTGTCCATCTCTGTGTCCAAATTCCCCTTTTTAAAAGAACACCCGTCATGTTGGATTAGGGCTCCCTGTGATGACCTCATCTTGACTTGGTTAAATCTGCAAAGGCCCTATTTCCAAATAAGGTCACATCCTGAGGTCCTGGGTGTTAGGACTTCAACACAAGTTTTTTAGGGAACACGATTCAACCCATGACAAAATTCAACCCTTCCTACAAAATAAACACTGGATCCAATTGGTTTTATGGGTTAGTTCCAGGAGAAGATCATTCCAAGGTTATCCATGTCTTGTGTAATCACCCAGATGTCTAAGAGGCCAATGTAACAGTGACACCAACACCAGCTGAGGATGGTACAAGAATGCAAAATTAGAGATGCATCCTCCTCAGGAACTCTGGCCACATACACCACCACGGGTGCATCTCAGACACCTGGGGTGAAAAAAGCGAGTGGCAGGGGACAACATATAGTAAGCCAATTTTATACAGTTAAAACAAAAAGTAGAAAATATATTCTTCAGAGCTACATACATACATAAAAACTGAAAAACAGAGTAATGGAAAAGAGACAGCACAGATAATTACTAGACTGTGTTTTCTGACCCCAATACAATTAAAATAAAAACAAATGAAAAAAGGTAGGCCGCAAATCATGGATAGTGGTTCTCCTGGGGATGGGGGCGTCAGGCGAGCCCCGTGTGGATGCAGCGCCGAGGTGAACGCAGCTGCTGGTGGTGGCCTGGTTCTGAAGGGAAATGGTGAATTCCTAAGGGTTCATTTTGTTGTCAACCTTTGTAACTTGCATTTATATAACATATTCTTTTCTCTTTCTCAAATAGTACAGAGTTTTGAAAAACACTAAACAGACACCACCCCCTTCGCTGCTCTGGAGGTTAGTGTGCTCAGGTCTGACTTAGGTCTGTGACAGGTGCCTGGGAGTTTTGGTCAGGCGGTTATAGGATTTTTCTTTACTTCTATAATTTAAAGACCTTGGCAGGATGTGCCTAGATGTAAACAAGTATGTTCTTAGCAGTTGTTCCAGCCATTTCATTTGCAAGCATTTAGGCAGTAGCCGTGCAGTCCAGCTAGACAGGTTGAAAGTATCATACTCCTGTGTTTTGGCCAAAGGCTTAAGGAAGTGAGAACAGTTCTTTCCCTTCCTAAAAGGGCCTAAGTGCACACTTTCATTTTCAGAGGGGACAAAGACATGTTTCTCATGATGAAATTCAAATTAACTGACAATAACAGAGCTCCCTTTTGCCCGATTCTTTCGGTCTCCACCAAGCCCAGCTCCCACTCTGGAAGAAGTCAGCGCCTGGGCTCAGTCGTTCGACAAGCTGATGCTCACTCCCGCGGGAAGGAATGCTTTCCGAGAATTCCTCCGAACAGAATTCAGCGAAGAAAATATGCTTTTCTGGATGGCGTGTGAGGAACTGAAAAAAGAAGCTAATAAAAACATTATTGAAGAGAAAGCAAGGATAATATATGAAGACTACGTTTCTATTCTTTCTCCTAAAGAGGTATGTACCCACCGGAAGGTGTTTTCCCAGGAGGCCATTAGTGAAATGAACAATTTGGGCCTGTTCACCTGGCATAGTTCCAGCTATTCCCAAAATATAGGAAATGACTCCACCACTATTCATAATATTGAAATCCCTTTGACCATGGTCCCACCAGTGGGCTCCGAATGCCCCTAAAATCTGTGAAAGACTATTTTTCTGGAAAAAGTATCCAGAACTTTCATCACATTCTCCAGAAGAGGGAGTCTATGCATTTTACCATTAACACTGTTTTTAAAAGTCACACCCTATAAGCATTGCTTTAAATAAAATTATCCTTTTATTCTGAGCAAAATCTTTTTTACAGGTATCATTATTTTTTAGATAGTAATAGCATCACTGATGCTACAAATGTTTCCCCAGGGTGTCCTTTTTATGTCAGGGAAATTATCAGATGGGTGAAATCAAGCAAGTTTCCATCTCTCAGAGGTTTTGTGCCTTGAAATCTAAAATCTAGGAAGTTAAGTTGGTCTCAAAACTAAGTGCCTTGTAGCTCTAACTTTAAAAATCATGCATTATTTCCTACTGTATGTGGCTAAGAATATAAAGTTAATAAAACAGGCCTCTCCTGTCAGGGAACTCATAGACAAGAGGCCAACAGACATGGAGCCCATGGTGAGCTGCCTCAGGTTCCTAACAGGGGCTGGTGGGGGGAGCCATCAGCAGTGAGGTGGGCAGGAATGAGGGGGAGGACACAGATGGACCAAGGGTAATGAAAGGAAATTACCAGAAACACAGAGAATAGAAATAGGCGGACCAAGGATAAAAGCATGCAGGTGCATGGACACTGAGGGTGTCAGCAGCTTGCTGTGGCTGAAGTGTAGCTGTTTTCCAAACTCTTTGGGCTGGCAGCAGGCAGCGGGAGGAGAGTTTAGAAAAGGGGATGGTCTGAGAGGATCAAGAGGTTTGGGAGCCATGCTGAGGTTTTCTGATGTATCTCCTGGGAAGCTGTTGGATTTTAGCCTGGTAATATCATCAAATTTGGATTTTTCAAAGGCCAATATGGCTGCAGAATGCATTAGGAGATGAAGACTAGAGGCAGAAGACAGTTGAAGGACCAACTCAGTTGTCCAAACTGAACATGAGGAGGGCCTCAGTAGGCCAGCTGAAGAGAAATGAGAGAGGAAGGCTTTGAGCTGAGCTCAAGCTGAGTCTCCAGTGACTCCAACAGGCCTGGTCTGGACAGACCAGGGGGTGGCGTAGTTCACTGATAGGGTGGGGAGCATGCCTGGGAGAAAGGGAGTGGGGCTCAATTTGCTTACTTAGGTTTGCATTGTGAAGTGGCAGTATTCAGCTGACAGATGTATGAATACGAGGTTCAGAAATTTATTTCCATTTTGAATTGATAAAAAGCAAGAGAATTTTTGTCCTTTAATTTGTGGCTTCCATGTATTTTTATTTCGTCATGATTTTCCTTTTTTTTAGGCAAGATTTTCATCACTGTCTTTTAAAGCATTATACAACCAAAAAACTTTTTAGCAAATTTATGAAGCAAAAATGATATAAAAAGATGACCCTTTCCTCCCAGATATAAGCGTCTATTACTTGAAATGTAAAAGCTTAAAAATTTTAAGAGCATAGACTTTGGGGTCAGATTCACTTGGGTTTGAACCCCAGTTCTCTCCTTTAATCGCTACATCCCCTTGAGTGTATTTCTGTATGAATGGGACATCACCCCTGGCTCGAACTTTCGGGAGGACTGGAAGGCAGGACGGGAGCAGACCCTGCCTCAGTGCCCGCCGGAGCAGGCACACCCCAGCCGGCCACTCTCCGTGACCCTCTGTGTCCATTCACCATCCTGAGCAGACACCATCCCCGCCGAGCACTCACAGGGATATTCTTCAGATGAAGGCTGTACAGAATGAAATAGTTCCATTTGTGCCCTCTTTGTGAACTAGAATATTTTTTAGTGTTTTCTGCAGTAACTCTTAGCCTAATTCTCTAACAAGCGTAGGAGCTTTCCTCCATCCAGCCAACAATGTGTTCTGAGTCCCCCTGTTTTGTGCAGGAGCTGTGCTCCTAAGCACTGGGCCTTTATATTCTAGAAGCTTCTAGGAGAGGCTTTTCTAGTGGTGAGTGCTGCCACAGGGATAGCTTAGGGAGCACGGGACCCACATCTAGGTGGTTGGAGAAGGCTTCCCAGGACGGGTGGAGGACATCTAAACCAAGACGGGAAGGAGAAGTAGACTGAGCGAGACAGAGTAGGGGGAAAGATTATTCAGACAGAAGGACAAAGACCAGCTCGTCCTAACTCTTACTTTCTTTAAGTTTCAAGTGAAATTCTTTAAATTCTTGAGTGTAATAGTGAGGTAGAGCTGGGGAATTAGTGGAAGCAGATCGTTAAGGGCCTCAAAAGTTTAAACTTGGAACTTGTGGGCTTACGACCTGATCCTGAGAGCACTGACCAGCCAGTGCAAGGTCTGAAGCTGGAGTGTCAGCGTGGGCTTTGCACTTTAGAAAGATCCCTCTGGCCTAACCGTGGAGTGATTGGGAGAGGCACTAGACGGACAGCCGGAGACCAGTTAAGAGGCTGGTGAACAAATCCAGCCGGAAACGCTGAGTGACCTCCATAAGGGTCATGGCAGAGAGGAGGGAAGAGGTGGACAGATTCGAGAGGTGTTAAAGAGGAAGAGTCCCAAGGATTTTGTGGCTGAATATAGAGCCAGAGGGAAACTGAGGGAGGAGCAGGACTCTGAACTAGGTGGGAATAAATAGTTCCATTCCTTCACAAGCTGTACAAGAAAGAGATCTGGAGATGCTGGGAATCTGGGTTTTTGTTTTTAATTGAAATATAGTTGACATACAATATTGTATTAGTTTCCAGGGTACAACATTGTGATTCATCATTTATATACATTACAAAATAACCACCCTGATAAGACTAGTAACCATTTGTCATCATACAAAAGTTATAATATTGCTGACTATATTCTCTATGCTCTGCGTTACATCCCCATGACTTATTTTACCACTGGACGTTTGTGCCTCTTAATCCCCCTCACATATTTTGCCCTTTCCCTCACCCCCTCCTCCCTCTGGCAACCACTGGTTTCCTGTATCTGAGTCTGTTTCTGTTTGTCCTGTTTGTTCATTTGGGTTTTTTTTTAGATTCCACATATAAGTGAAATCATACAGTATTCTTCTTTCTCTGACTTATTTCACTTAGCATGGTGCCCATCATGGTCCATCAGTGTCTCAAATGACAGAATTTCCTTCTTTGTATGGCTGAGTGGTATTTCATTTGTATATATACCACATTATTTTTATCCATTCATCTACCCATGGGTACTTAAGTTGCTTCCATATCCTGGCTACTGTAAATAATGCTGCAGTGAACGTAGGTGGGGAGATATCTTTTTGAATTAGTGTTTTCATTTTCTTCGGATAAATACCCAGTAGTGGAATGGCTGGATTGTATGGTAGTTCTATTTTTTAATTTTTTGAGGAAGCTCTATACTGTTTTCCATAGTGGCTACACTATGCAATTTACATTCCCACCAACAGTGCATGAGGTTCCCTTTTCTTCACATCCTCTCCAACACTTATTATTTGTTCCCTGATTAGTGACACTGAGCATCTTTTCATTTGCCTCTTGGCCATCTGCATGGCTTCTTTGGAAAATGTCTATTCAGGTCCTCTGCCCATTTTTTAATCAGATTGTTTTTTTGATATTGAGTGGTATTGAGTTCTTTATACATTTTGGATATTAACCCCTTATCAGATATATGAATTGCAAATATCTTCTCCCATTCAGTAGGTTGCCTTTTTGTTTCATTCATGGCATCCTTCACTATGCAAAATCTTTTTCGTTTGATGTAGTCCCATTTGTTTATTTTTGCTTTTGTTGCCCTTGCCTGAAGAGACAGATCCAAGAAATATTGCTAAGACTGATGTCAAAGAGTTTTACTACCTATGTTTTCTTCTAGGGGTTTTATATTTTCAGGTCTTACATTTAAGTCTATAATCCCTTTTGAGTTTATTTTTGTATATGGTGTAAGAAAGTGGTCCAGTTTCATTCTTTTGCATGTCTAGTTTGCTGGGAATCCGTTTTGAATGTATTAGGTTTGAGTTACCTGTAGGTAAGCAAAAGGAGCTTTCTAAGAGGAAGATGGATATATGCATCTGGAAAGATAGATCACTGAAATCCATATTTAATGATTTAGCTAATCCTATTTTTGGTTTTATATTACACAATAGCATGTGCATTGCAGAGCATTAGAACTGTCATGGCCTACAGGTGTGGAGAGGGTTCGGCTAAGGTTCTTCCCACAGAAGAGAAGATGTGTGAGTTCATCTTTGCAGCAGTGGCCTGTCCTCTTGTTTGTCTGGCATCCTATGGGAAAAGTCTGAGCCCAGGAGCTTGCTCTGGTCTGAGAGAGAGCCTCATCTAGAATGAGCAAAACATCAGAGTAAGAAGAACCAACATCTTCTAGGGACTTACTGAATTCCAAGCACTTTAAATAAATTCTCGTTCAAAAATCCAACAACTACCGTCATCATCGCCACTCTGTGGAGGAGTTCATCAGGGCACAGTTTACTTTGCCTAAGGCCCACCAACCAAGCGGTAACAGAGCTGAGATTTACACACAGGCCCCAAGATTTTAACACTTCCACATGGTGCTTCTGAGTCAGCTTCCACTTCACCAGCCAGCCTGGCTGGCACTCATTCCCAGAAGTCTGTCCCTGTGTTCTAGCTGGTTACAGCCTGGGACCTCCGGGTTTTCACCCTAATGTTATCAGGAAATTAGCAAGGGGTAAGTCCATGCATGCTACCTTTTTTCTTCAAAGGACATAATAGACTCATTTTTAAAAAGCAAAACAGTGTTGTGGTTTTCGAAAGCAGTGTGATCCCCACCAGCATTACTGAGAACTTGTGAGAAATACAACCCCCCGCCCATACTATCAGGTGCCTCCCCCGACCTGCTGAGTCAGCCCCTCTGCGGGGAGGGCTCAGCTATCTGTTTAACAAGACTTCCAGGCTCTCCTGATGCCACTAAAGCTTGAGCGTCCTGGTTCGTTATGCGTTCAGTTTCTCTTTTGGAAGTTTGGATTTTTGGATGACCTTGTTTGGTTTGGGATTTTTGAAAAACAAAATAAGCTATGGGAGTTTCGGATGGATTTCCAAAGAGAAAAGTGTCTAATACAACTCTTGTTTCTATTGACAGGTCAGCTTAGACTCCCGAGTAAGAGAAGTCATCAATAGGAACATGGTGGAGCCATCCCAACACATATTCGATGATGCCCAGCTTCAGATTTACACCTTAATGCACAGAGACTCATATCCCAGATTCATGAACTCTGCTCTCTATAAAGATTTGCTTCAGTCCCTATCTGAGAAATCAGTTGAAGCATAGGATGTTATCAAGCATATTTATTATTAATAAATTAATAAAAGAACTCGTGGACTACGTCCAGTACAGGGAATTTAGAGGCAGTGGTATCTTCTGATGGAGTAATACTGGGGCTATTTTAATAACAGATGCTGCCTTCTACAGAAGGCTATATATCCACCATGTAAATTGCAGCCACCTTTAGTGATACTTTAGAAAAAATGGGGTATGCCTGTTTTAGAAAGACAGTATATTTACATTTACAATAACAGTAGCATGTTCCCAGTGGCAGAGGATACACTAAAAGACTCCACACTGCCTGGAGCACGTCCAGCCATGGGAGCAAACAGGACTGCTTTTGTTTTGCATGAGTTCAGTACCTGATTACTCTCCTCCCCCCAAAAAGACATTCAGCAAGTGTTTCTCAGCTACTTCTTCCTTCCATCAAGCTCAGTTTCGAATATTTCACTTCTGAGTGACATTACAGGACCTAAATTTCCTTTTTATAAAGATGTGACCACTACTTGTGAAAATGCTGTTCCACTTTATCTTGGAATATAGGTATGTAGATACACATGCACATATATGTATCTACACATGGTCAATGTTAAGGACTGTCTCTTAAGTGGATCCATCTCAAAGGTTTGGTAAGAGAAGTCGTGTTAGAAAATTTTTTTGTCGAAAAGTTATTTTATTATGAGAATCTGTGAACCTACAGAATGAATTTTTAATTTCACAACTTAGTCACGTTCACAACAAAACTTCTAAACAAGCATATTTCCATTTTTATTACTGAAAGAAATATGGGTATTTTCACTCTAAAAAATAAAGCACAAGAGTTTTATCTCAATCTTTATTTTTTTCACATGTAAATATTTGGGAAATATAACATTAAGTAAGGAAGGATATACACAAGGTATCTTTTAGCTCCCAAACTAGGATTTTGTTTTTAAATCCCACTATTTTAATCATAGGCAAATGGGATAACTTCATAGCTTACAGGTAAAAGTACTGGTTTGTAGACCTAACCATCCTGAAGAAATCCATAACTACAACGAATGGGAAAGACATTCCAAAATGAAGTGAATGTGAAAGACATCCAGAATCTGGCATGGTTTGAGTCGTGGGTTAGAAATTAATTTGCAAGAGGCCTACAGCAGGCTTCAGCTCTAAATGGATAGCTCTCCTCTCGGTCGTCTCCCTTACCTGGCCCTTTAGCCTGACAATTTCTTCATTACCCTCTTCAAGCCCCAAACCTAAGCCCCTCACTCTCATTCTAAGTAAAACATTTACCTCCTACTTTACTGTGAAAATGGGTTCCCTAACCCCATCAACTTCCTGTGTAACCTATAAATATGTATAGGTAAGCATCTATTCTCACCTCCTTCAGTCCAGTCTCAGAGAATATGTTCTTTCCTCCTTTTCAAGGCATCAACACCTTACGTGCTTTTGATTCCATATACTACAGTCTAATTTTTTTCATTAGACAAAGAGGATATAATTGTGATTAAGGCATAAACCCTACCCCCTAGCAGTTTACATTCAGTTGAGGATGACAGATGTGTCCATGGCAGCTACAATATACTGTAGGAAGACAGGGAAGAACTGAGCTATGGAAGTCTTGAAGGGCTACGGAAAGATTTTGGCAGAGGTAACGCCAAAGCTAAAACCTACAGAAGAGTGTGTGTGTGTGTGTTGAGGCAGAGGTGTAGGGAAGGTAGTCACAATTGAAGCAATCCCAAATGAGTCCAGTCATGGACATGCTAAGGATAAGGAAACTGTAAGACATATAAAAGATGTCAAGAAATCAATTGGATGGAGGGAGCTGAGTGGTCAAGATATTAGGCTCGAGTATTGATTTGGGATTTTTCAACACAAAGATGAATGAGATTACCTGGAATTATAGCATGAAAAGAGCTGAGGGGAAATCTTTGCAAGGATGGCCAGAGAAACAAGAGTTCCCAAAGGAGATTCAGAAGGATTCACCTTCTCAATATAGGTCAGAAGAAAGTCAAGGACATGTGGGGACATGTCAGCAAATGAATGGGAGTGTTTCAAAGGGAGGGTGGTAAATTAAATGCTCTTACCTCAAAATCTGCTCCATCGATTTCCCCCCACTCTCCTATATCGTCAACTTCTCCTTGACTTTTTCTCATACTGTAAACATTCGTGAATTTCCCAATTAAAAACAAAACTTGCACTACATAACTGCTGATTCTCCTCTCTTCCTTTCACATCAGCCTTTTCACAATAGGCCACTCTTGCCGTCCCCCCTCACTCCTCCATCGACCACAGTGCACCCAACTGCTCCAGGGAGGCCTCCGCCAGCCGGGTCTAACCCCACTGTGCTCCCAGTCTTCTCAGTGGGCTTCTCGGCTTCCTCACTGACACGGCCTTACTTCAAACACTACCTCGTCTCCTGAGGTGCTCTTCTAGCTCTCCACATTTTCCTTCATCTGTACCCATTTCCTTCCCACGCAGTAGGGCACAGCAGCAAGGGTTTGGGCTCTGGAGCCAGACATTCTGACTCCTCCACTTACTGTGTGATAGTGGGTACACAGACTTTCTGGGCCTGTTTCCTCTTCTATAAAAACAGAATAATAATGGTACCTTATCCCTAGCATTGCTATGAGGATTAAAACTAACCCATGTAAAATACAGTAAGCGTTTATTACATGTTAGTTATTGCTACTATTACTTGTCCACTAAATGTCATGGCCCCTAAGGTTTGGGCTTTGGCTTACTTTTTTAACTAACCTTTATGCTCTCCCTTGGTTCTCACATCCCCTTCTCATTGTTTAAATAACTAACAATAGACTCAAGGCACAAAATCAGGATCTGGTCTAGAGCTTTCTCTGGCACTCCAGAATCAGCTGCCAGTTGGACATCTCCACTTGTCTATCCCACAGATGAGTGAAACTATGTCTAAATTTTGACTTACCCACGCCACTCCCTCCCCACATCCAAGCCCAGCCCCTGCCTCTATCCCCAGTCACCCAGCTGGTCACCTGAGCTCTTACCTGGGTGTTAACTTTGACTCTTCCCTCTCTTTCTTTTCCCAAACATAATCACCAAGCCCTACTGATTTGACTTCCTAAACATTTCTCATGTGTCCCTCCTTCCTTCTTCTCACCTCCATTCTCTCTCACTGCCTGTTATCATTGCCAGAAGAGCCTCCTAACTGCCTCCCCACACCCATCTCAGCCATGCAAACACATCTTTCACAATGCCTAAGGTGCAAAACTGTTTGTCACCACCCCTCTACTCCTTAGAATCTTAGTAGTCACGGGTTTCTTGGAGTACAAATACCAAATTAGCATGCTGTACAAGCAAGGGCCTCTATAGTTGGGCTACTGGCTCCCCAGCCAACCCCACCTTTTAGACTCAAGAATATATACTTATAGAAAAGGCACATATATCACTTCATACTGTCAGACCTGCTCATGAGAAGTTGGTCCATCCTTTGTTACCCCTCATCCCCTCTCTAAAATGCCACCCTGCACTCAGCGGACTCTTATCCTTCCTTTAAGATTTACTTCACATGTTACCTCCTCCACAAGCTCTTACCTGACCTGCTAAGTCATACGTCCACTGTGTTGAGTGTCATTCTTCAGTATTCCAAGAATACCCTGTACAAATACTTATGAGCTATTACAAATCATCTGTTTACATATCTGTCTTTCCCTTTACACTGTATGCTCCAGAGGCATTGAAAATACACCTTATCCATGATTTTTATATACAGTATCTGGCTAAGAGCATATAAATGTTTGTAGGACTGAAGAGTTACAGCATGAAAACTGAACTTCCCATAGCTATAAAATAAAATTCCATTCCAAATTTGTTTCACGTGTCACATCTCAGAAAGACATCGTCACAGCCCATGTGATTACAGAACTCACTACTACAGCAAACCAATCCAGTGGGTAAAGCTGTAGTGCCATCTATGCACATGATGAATCCTGAAGCCACCCCCAAAGTATCCTACAAATTCAATGCAATTCCAAGGTTTTAAGAAACTTTTCAGTAAAACTTGACAAGCTGATTTTGTTGGGATGGATGGTTCTCCATTTGGAAAAATGTATACATAAACAAGTGTAAATACCAAATGATTAAAGATCTAAAAGTTTGTTTGTTTTTGTATGAGGAAGATTCACCCTGAGCTAACATCCATTGCCAATCCTCCTCTTTTTTTGCTTGAGGAAGATTAGCCTTCAGCTAACATCTGTGGCAATCTTCCTCTACTTGGTATGTGGGATGCCTCCACTGCATGGCTAATGAGTGGAGTAGGTCTGCACCCAGGATCCGAACCTGTGAACCCTGGGCCGTCGAAGCAGAGCATGCAGAACTTGAACCACTCAGCTACGGGGCCAGCCTCCTAAAAGTTTTTTTAAAAAAAGAACATTCTAAGAATATTGGAAGAAAATGTAGGCAATATTTTTATAACTTCAGATGGAAAAGCTCTTCTTAACTAAAACATAAAATCCAGAACTATAAAAGAAAATACTGATTGGATATTTAAAAAATTTAAATTTTGTACCACAAAAGACAACATAAAAATAATTAAAACACAAACATCAGACTATGAAACAAACTAAAGATTACTATGCAGAATGTATTAGGAGTGCCTACAAATTAATAGGACAACTCTATAGACTGAAAAGGAAAGACACAATAAAAACAACAGAAATCAACCAGCTAATAAACAAGGAAAGATGAGCATAATATACACAAAAAGATAATCATTTGAACACAAATTAAAACGAGATGATAGTGGTATTACTATTTCCCCCTAGATTTGCAAAAATCAAAAGGATTGATAAAATTCAGTATTAGCAAAAGTGTAAAAAAATGGGCATTTATATCCTGTTGACAGGCGGCTAAACTAGTTTGACTCTTTGGAAAGTAATCTGGCAACATCCATCGTTCCAAATGTACATCCACACGCTAAGCAGTTAACCTCCTAAGAATCTATCCTACAAAACATCAAAACAAGAACCACCCACGGGAGAAGAGGTTTTAAAGGGAATGGTACCTACCCACAGATGGCTCTATGGTGAAAATGAATGCCATATATCTATGTGCACTGGCACTGTTCTCAGGGAAACCGTCAAATGATAAAAGCAAGTTGTAGAATATGTGTATGTGCCCATTTATAATGTGAATAATGGCAGTCCCAAAAAAATTCCCCTCATTGATTGAGCTGGGTACTACTCCAAGGTCTTTACAAATCATTCAGTCCTTACTCACAACCCTATAAGGGAGGATGGTGTTCCCCTTTACAGATGAGGCAGAGGCAAAGCACCTGGATCAAAGTCCCACAGGTAGTAAGTGGCAGTTAGATTTGAATCTGAGCAGATCAAAAGCCCCTGCTCTTAACCATTGTGCAACGTCAATTTCCTAGGAAAAGAGGACTAGATAGCCTGGTAACAAGCACGTACACATAACTCACAGAAATGAAATCGAGAAAATTACAGAGCCAAGGAGATCATTTTCTCCAGTTTATGATTTTGACTTAAAAGACAGAGATAATAAAACCAGTTTCACAAGGTGGAAGAATACCAATCAACTGGGGGCCAGCCCATGGCCAATGGTTAAAGTTACTTGTGCTCCACTTCAGCAGCCCAGATCTGTAGGTTCAATCTGGGGTATGGACCTACTCCACTCATCAGCCATGCTGTGGAGGCATCCCACATACAAAATAGAAAAAGACTGACAGAGATGTTAGCTCAGGGCGAATCTTCCTCACCAAAAAAAAAAAAAAAAAAAAAACCAACAAAACACAAACAAACAAGAATACCAATCAACCAGTCAGCTCTGCTCTGAGAACTTGTAGAGGCTCAGGTAGCCAGTTTTTCTTACTGAATATAACATGACAAAAAAAAATTTATAAAAGACCAGCCTTCATGTATAAAGATGATACTGCTGTCTTAAATCAAATAGTGAGGGGTTTTATTCTATTAGTTACTGATCTTGGAGCAAAACCATCTAAGCTTTCTTTCCCGACATGTGCATAATCAAAAATTCCTATTTTGAGTCATGTAAAGCACAACAGTCACCAAACAGGGTTTTTCCTGAATAACGCCAACTTAATCTCACGGGAGATGAAATAGTGGCCTTGACATTATAATCTATCCACTTGAATTAACTGTCCCAGTGAAATATTCTGGAAAGGATAATAATCAAAATATTAACTATAAGAAAACTAAGTGTTAATGCTTGGAGTAGTAGCCTAAGAATGGGAAGTCTGAATAAAAAAATAATTACAGGCATACTTGAGATGTTGCAGGTTCGGTTCCAGACCACTGCAACAAAGCCAGTATCACAATAAAGCATGTCACATGAACTTGCTGGTTTCCCAGTGTACATACAAGTTATGTTTACACTACATGTAGTCTATTAAGTGCAACAGCATTATGTCTAAAAAAAAAAAAAAACAATGTATATACATACCTTAATTAAAAAAATACCTCATGGCTAAAAAAGTGCTAACCATCATATAAGCCTTCAGCCAGTCATAATCTTTTTGCTGGTGGGGGGGGACGTCTCGTAAAAAATGCAGTTATCCGCAAAGTTCAATAAAACAAGGTATGCCTGTATGTATTTAAACATAAACTTTTTAAAATTAACAGCACGGTCACTATAGTTAACAATACTGTATTGGATATTTGAAAGTTGCTGAGAGAGACCTTATAAGTTCTCATCACAAGAAAAATACCTTCTAACTACGTGTGGTGATGGATGTTAACTAAACCTAACGTAATCATTTCACAACATATACATTTATCAAATCATTATGTTGTACCCCTAAAACTAATACGTTATATATGTCAATTATACCTCTATTAAAAAATTTTACCACGTAGAGGATTAACAAGCATTTGGTCTTATGGACATGTTTTGATGAATTTAAAGAGAATTAGGACAGCAATTATTGTGGGGGGGGGGAGAAGATGAACAGATCACTGAAACAATCCTGAGATAAATCAGCCTGATACTCACCTGTGACTCTAATGGTCCTTCCAGATCACTTATGCTTCTGCAAGTAACTGAAATCTGAGCACTTTCACAGGCTTTGATGTTCTGATAGCAGTACTTTTATTTAGAATAATTATACATTTACTTAACTAAAATATTCATCCAAAACAATTTAGGATTTAAAAATTTTTTTCAGCTGCTTGTTACAGAAATCTATCTCAAACTAGTTT